ACCTACAACATTCATGCACTGGAGCGATTTGCAACCTAGTGCAAAGCAGGTGGGATGAGGTCGAGCTCCTCCACGTCCAAGGCCATGGTTTTCATTTGGAAAAAATGTGGCTTGTACCGTTTAGGTCAGAGAAGAGTGCCTGCCTCAACTGGAAGAGTTCAAGTATCCTATTCAAAAGGGAGGCAGAATGGAGCAGGTGATCAATAGACGGTTTATTGCAGCTGTTGCACTGGTCTGTTGTGGTGAAGAGTGAGCTGAGCCAAAAGGCAAAGCTCTTGATGTATCGGTCGGTCTACGATCCTACCCTCACCTACGTTCATGAAATCATGATAATGACCATAACAAAACAAAATCCCAGATACAAGCATTTGAAATGAGCTTTCTTCACACGGTGGCTGGGCTCTCCCTTACTGATAGGGCGAGGAGCTCTATCGTCCAGGAAAGGCTGCTTCTCCTACACATAAAGAGGAGTCAGCTGTTTTAGATGCGTCCTGGACAGGAGGTGTTCCAAGTCGCGTGTCCCAGGTGACGACCTAAGACACGCTAAAGGGACCACATCTCTTGGTTGATATGGTAGTCCCTCAAGCTTCCCTCAGTGGAGCTGGAGGAGGTACTGGGGAGAGGAAGTCTGGGAGTCTCTGCTGAGACTGCTGCACCCGTGGCCCTTTACTGGATAAAGGTAAGACAAGGTAGACAACTTATTATTATAAAGGTTATTTAAAATACGCATGTATGTTTTCATATATATAAATGCAAATATGTTCTTTAAAATTCTGTATTTTCACATAAAATACAGTAATGGTGGCTATTTGTTTTAGCTGGGAGAAAATCGACAAATGACTTGGTTGCATGCCATTGCAAACGGGCCAAATAAAAATGGGATTAGGGCGGATTTAGGAATCCAACAGCAGACATGGGCAATGTGGAGTCAACAAGTCATCTCCATGTCATGTATTTGTTCTACCCAGCAACTGAAGCAGGTGAGTCCAATCTTCACCGTGAATTAACCTGTGCAGATTGGACTCACCTGGTTTATTGGCTGGGTAGATTAAATACATGACATGGAGATGACTTGTTGACTCCACATTGTCCATGTCTGTCCAACAGTGACGATGACACCTTTTGCAATTGGGACCAATGTGGACCTTTTTCAGTGCGTCTGGATCGACATGGCCAGAAACAATATTCACGTAGGCTGTAGAGTTTAAGCAATGCTCAGTTTGTAGTTGGAGGCCCAAACATTACTAAAAAGATATTTCTTACACCATTGCAGCAACAACGGCTTGGTGTCAGGTAATGCCATCATTTGGTGGCATTACCTGAACATCTGGAATTAAACAGAGCTACATTAGACCAGGCAAGGATTTTCCAATCTCTTTGGCCCCATTTTCTCACACCTGTGTGAAATGTAGTCTGAGGTCTAGTCATTTGGTCATTTGGTGTGTTCTTCATCACATTTAACACACCTAAATTAAGGTTCCATGTGTTAAGAGATGGTCCTCAGTATACCTTGGTTGCAACATCTAGCAACAGCTGGTTACTGCAGCTGGTGTTCCTATCATATTAAACCAATCTGATTATGTTCTTCTGATGTCAAGAAGACATTTTTGTCCACAACACTTCCAATTATTGAACATCTTAAATTTTTTTAGACCAATCAAGACATGTCTTAAAATCCCAGCAGATCAATGTCCTTTGAGACAGAACATTGTGCCATGCCCTGCTTAAAGGATGGATGGATGGATGGATGGATGGATGGATGGATGGATGGATGGATGGATGGATGGATGGATGGATGGATGGATGGATGGATGGAT